AATTCACCTCTGGCAACAGCTGATTGGAGGTATTCTGGGAGGCCAATTCACCCCCCAATCAGCTTTTTTTCTTATGTATTCTTATACTCTGAAAAATACGGTAATAGAAGCAATCATTTTGATTTCACATGATAATAGCTGCAGAACTAAAAGACTTGGTAAGACATTGTAAGGCCATAATGGGAAGATGTTGTAAGGCCGTAATTCATGCTAACAATTACCCAACTAAGCATTAACTGACGTGGGGATCATTTTTGTATATCTCGTTTTTTCTATGGTGATCATTTTTGTACATCTCGTTTTTTTCTACGTGTTTCACTTTGCTTCTTTCTACTGTAACTGCTATTCTAACAGCAAATCCTTCCTAAACATTATTGCATTACATTCTCGATTAAATTATCTCTCCATTGATATATAATTTTATGCTACTACTCCAAAAAAAAAAAAAATGGTGTTATTCGCTAGTTTTTAGAAAATACACTTTTCCCAAAGGGTTTCCACAATTTTGGCCACTACTGTAAATGAAAGCTAAGGGACGATTAAAGACAAGAGGTTGCAAAAACTACACAGTGAGCAGTGAGCAGAGTTAGTCAACCATGTTCTTGTGAGGGTTCTACTAAACCCACTAAATACGACGAGGCCGAATTTCAAGTAAACTTGCAAGCTTGCAACAGGTACAAGGATGATACACACAGTTCTTTTTGGGGTGCATGCTTTGATGGGCATTGTAAATAACATGGAACTGCAGATAGAGAGCTTTTTACAACAGTTTGTTTAGTGAAAGTTGGAAGTTTCACTGGCACTGAAAAAAAGGGGCTTATAACTGCTTTTCACACTTTTACCACTGTCCCAGCGTTTCTGTAGTCACATGACCGAAATTCAGACAGTTGGCAACTCATTCCATATTTATGACGGTTGCAATGTCCCACTCAGACTCTCCTCCTCTCTGCCTCTCTCTTCCTCTCTCTCTTCCTCTCCTCCCTTTTCTCTCTCTCTCTCACTCCCTCTCTCTCTCTTCTTTTCTCTCTCTCCCTCTCTTCCCCCTCCTCTCTCTCTTCCTCTATATCTTTCTCTCCCCCTTTTCTCTCTCTCACTCCCTCTCTCTCTCTTCTTTTCTCTCTCCCTCTCTTCCCCCTCCTCTCTCTTCCTCTATATCTTTCTCTCCCCCCTTTTCTCTCTCTCACTCCCTCTCTCTGTGCGTCTCCCCTCCTCTAACTCCCTCTCTCCCCCTTCTCTCTTAACTCCCTCCTTTCTCTTTCTCTCTCTCACCTTTCTCCCTCCCTTTCTATCTTTCACTCATTCACACTCCCCCTCTCACTCTCTTTCTCATTCTCTATGTCTCTCTCACTCCTTCTCCCTTTCTGTTGCTCTCTCACACTTCCTCTCTCTTTCTCTTCTTTTCTCTCTCTCTCTTTTTCTCTCCCTCTCTCTCTTCCTCTCTCCCCCTTCTCTCTCTAACTCCCTCATTTCTCTTTCTTTCTCACTCACTCACCCTTCTCCCTCCCTCTCTCTATCTCTCACTCTTTCACACTCACCCTCTCCCTTTCTTCCTCTGTCTCTCTCACTCCTTCTCCCTCTCTGTTGCTCTCTCACACTTCCTCTCTTTCTCTTCCTTTCTCTTTCTTTCTCTCTTTCTCCCTCTCTCTCCCTCCCTCCATCTCTCTCTTCCTCTCCCCCTTTTCTCTCTCTCACTCCCTCTCTCTGTGCCTCTCCCTTCCTCTAACTCCCTCTCTCCTCCTTCTCTAACTCCCTCCATTCTCTTTCTTTCTCACTCACTCACCCTTCTCCCTCCCTCTCTCTCTCACTCTTTCACACTCACTCTCTCCCTTTCTTCCTCTCTGTCTCTCTCTCTCCTTCTCCCTCTCTGTTGCTCTCTCACACTTCCTCTCTTTCTCTTCCTTTCTTTCTCTTTCTCTCACTTTCTTTCTTTCTCTCTTTCTCCCTCCCTCTCTCTCCCTCCCTCCCTCCCTCTCTCTCTCTCTCTTTCTCCCTCTCTCTCTCTCTCTCTCTCTCTCAGTGTTGTAGGTATGTAGCTGCTTGTCTGCTTACCGCCCCTCTGCCTCCTTCCCCCCCACTTGCTTACAATCTCGCTCAAATGGTGATCACATGACCTCAGGATACTGCATGAAATTGTTCATACCGGTAGCTCTCGACTTACAACGGTTTGCTTAGTGACCATTCTGAAAAAAAGTGATTCACGACCACTTTTCACACTTATATCACAGCCTCCCCACGGGCACCTGTTTCACATTCAGACATTTGACCCCTGACTCACATTTACGACGGTTGCCTTGATTCCCTTTTGCGACCCTTCTGATGAGCAAAGTCAGTGGGGAAGCTGGGGCTCACTTAACAACGGTCTTACTAACTTCAACAGCTGGAGAGATTCGCTTAACGCCAAATGGCAAGAAAATGGGGGCCCATCTCACTGAACAAATGTCTCGCTCAGCAGCAGAAATTTTGGGCTCGGCTGCGGTCGTAACTCGAGCACCCCCTGTAACGTGGAACCCAAAAGTCTGATTTAGACCTGCGCTAAATTCTAGGTCCCATAGAATTCAGTCGAACCTATATATCCGGAAACAGATTCGGCAGTTAACAATGTGAAAGTTGTTTAGCCGTGTCGATTGTCCGGCGCAGGTGTTTCTCGAGAATAAAAGGAAATGTTTGAGTGAGGTAATCCTATTGTTTATACACAACAGAATGCAACAATAAGAGTAACACGGCACGGGGGAAGCTTTTAAAGGAAGTCCTCGTGCTGGTTTTGTGGCAGCAAAAACCGTAGCAAAGTATTTTAAGAAACCGCACACACAATTCTCTGGATTTTTCTGCTTTAAGAGGGCGAGGAGGCCTTGGCATCAAGAAAAAAAATAACCTTGGGGAAATAGATATTCAGTCAAGGGAACTACTAACAGCTTACTGCATGCCGTTTGATTGTAGAAGCAATACTTTAATGTACCTTTCTATTAGTGCTAAGAACTACAACTTCCAGAATTCCCTGGGAGCTTAGGAAGGGTGGCCTAATGGATCCAAAAGCTGGAAAGGAATTGAGGAAATGGAAAAAATATGAATGATTGGGGGGGGGGGAGAGAAGGGAGAGGGATGGAGGAGAAAAGCTACTAATAGTAGCTATTCCACACCAGCTGTTTTCCAGATGTTCAAGGGACGCTCCCTTTTTCCCCTCCATGTAGAATCCCAAGGGTAGGAAGGGGACCTTGGAGGTCTTCTAGTCCAACCCCCTGCCCAATGATACAGGATTGTTCAATCTTTTCTTAAAAACCTCCGGCGATGGAGCACAACTCCAAGAAGCAAGGATTCCCCTTGTCCTCTCTCGGTGTCTGTCTCTCTTTCTGTCTCTCTCTGTCCCTCTATTTCTCTCTGTCCCTCCCTTTCTCCCTCCCTCCCTCCCTTTCTCTCGCTCCCTCTTTTTCTCTCTCTCTTTCTCACACACAAACTCTTTCTCTCTCTTTTTCCCTATCTCTCCCTCCCTCCCTCCCTCTCCCTCCCTCTCTCTTTCTCTCTCTCTCATTCTCTTTCTCTCTCTCATTCTCTTTCTCTCACTTGTTCTCTTTCTCTCAGACACTCTTTTCTTCTCTCTTTCTCTCTCACACTCTTTTCTTCTCTCTCTCTCTTCCTCTCCCTCCCTCTCTTCCTCTCTCTCTCTCCCCCTCCCTCCTTCCCTCTCTTTCTCTTTCTCTCTCTCCCTCTTTCTCTCTCCCTCCCTCTCTTTCTCTCTCTCTCTCTCTCACACACACATAAACTCTTTCTCTCTCTCTCTCTCTCTCTCCCCCTCCCACCCTCACTTCCTCTCTTTCTCTTCTCTTTTTCTCTCTCTTTCTCTCACACACTCTTTCTCTCTCCCTATCTCTCTCTCTTTCTCTCTCTCTCTCTCTCACACACACACCCCACAAATCCATAAAACTCAAGGAATTACTTTGAATGGGAATCATTATTTTTGAATGTAGATGTTTCTATTACTGCATTCATTTTCACCCACCATCAGCTAGTTACACCATAACTGAGCCCAAAATTTATATTGCTAAGTGAAACATTTGTTAAGTGGGTTTTGCCCCATTTTACAAGAGAAGAGAGAAGAGAGAAGAGTAGGGTAGGGTGGGGTGGGGTGGGGAGGGGAAGGGAAGGGTAGGGTAGGGAAGGGAAGGGAAGGGAAGGGAAGGGAAAGAGAAGAGAAGAGAAGAGAAGAGAAGAGAAGAGAAGAGAAGAAGAGAAGAGAAGAGAAGAGAAATCAGAATGGAGTGGAGTGGAGTGGAGTGGAATGGAATGGAAATAGGAATAGGAATAGAATAGAATAGAATAGAATAGAATAGAATAGAATAGAATAGAATAGAATAGAATAGAATAGAATAGAATAGAATAATTTATTGATCAAGTGTGATTGGACACACAAGGAATTTGTCTCTGATTATTATATGATTATTATATTTATAATTATAATTATATAACTATAATTATAATCATAGCAATAATACCAATAAGCGGGGGTAGTAAAGAAGATAAAAGTATACATAATAATACTACGTCCATACTACATAGGAATAATAATACTACAACCATACTACATAGAAATAATACTACAGCCGTACCACATAGGAATAATAATAGTACATCCATACTACATAAGAATAATACTACAGCCATACTACATAGGAATAATAGTACAGCTGTACTACATAGGAATAATAATACTACAGCCCTACTACATAAGAATAATAATACTACAGCCGTACTACATAAGAATAATACTACTACATCCATACTACATAGGAATAATACTAGATCCATACTACATAGGAATAATACTACAGCCGTACTACATAGGAATAATACTACTACAGCCCTACTACATAGGAATAAATAATACTACAGCCGTACTAAATGGGTAAAGAGACACACTACAACGCCGAGGATCGCCTGCCAGGCCTGGCAGGGGAGAGAGGGTGAAAGAAGACTCAAAGCGACCCCTCCGGGGAGTATCTCCTTACCCAGGAGTAGGAGCTTGACTTCGCGGGCCGCTTTTTCTCCGTCTTCTCGGAGATTCCGGTCGATCATCTTACTCCGCTCGGCCGCCGCCTTGTCCTCCGCGCTTAGGGTGCAGCCCATCGCGGGGGGCTTTTTGGGGGGAGGGGGTCTGGAGGGGGGGTTGTGGAAAGAAAACTGAGCCGGCTAAGCAATCTCCCCCTCTCCCCACCCTCCGCCTCCCCAAAAGGGAAAAAGAGAGAGAGAGAGAAAGAGAAAGAGAGAGAGAGGCCCAGAAGGCTCGGTCCGCGATCCGAAAAGCTTTGCAAGGAAAAGAATGGAGTCCCTGGGCTCCTTGCAAATATTTCAGCACTTAGGGGAGGAAAGCCGGCGGGGAGGAGGAGGAGGAGAAAGAATAGGGGGAGGAGGAGGAAAAGGAGAAGGAGGAGGGGCAGGAGAAAGAAGAGGAGGGGGAGGAGGAAGAGGAAGAAGAGAAGGAGGAGGGGGAGGAGGAGGAGGGAGAAGGAAGAGGAAGAAGAGGAGGAGGAGGAGGGAGGAGGAGGAGGAGAAAGAATAGGGGGAGGAGGAGGAAAAGGAGAAGGAGGAGGGGGAGGAGAAGGAAGAGGAGGAGGAGGAAGGAGGAGGAAGAGAGGAGTGGGAAAAGGAAGAGGAGGAGGAGGAGGAGGAGGAGGAGGAGAAAGAATAGGGGGAGGAGGAGGAAAAGGAGAAGGGGGATGGGGAGGAGAAGGAAGAGGAGGGGGAGGAGGAAGAGGAAGAAGAGAAGGAGGAGTGGGAGGGAGGAGGGGGAGGAGGAAGAGGAAGAAGAGAAGGAGGAGGGGGAGGAGGAGGAGGGAGGAGGAAGAGGAAGAAGAGGAGGAGGAGGAGGGAGGAGGAGGAGGAGAAAGAATAGGGGAGGAGGAGGAAAAGGAGAAGGAGGAGGGGGAGGAGAAGGAAGAGGAGGGGGAGGAGGAGGAGGAAGAAGAGGAGTGGGGAAAGGAAGAGGAGGAGGAGGAGGAGGGAGGAGGAGGGAGGAGGAGAAAGAAGAGGAGGAGGAAAAGGAGAAGGGGGATGGGAGGAGAAGGAAGAGGAGGGGGAGGAGGAAGAGGAAAAAGAGAAGAAGGAGGGGGAGAAGGAAGAGGAGGGAGGAGAAGGAGGAAGGGGAGGAGGAAGAACAAGAAGAGGAGGAGAAAGAATAGTGAGAAGAGGAGGAGGAGGAGGAGAGAGCGGAGTAAGAAGGCAAAATAATCCACCTAGGAGAGCCTGAGCCCAAGGGTACCAAAGCAAAAAGAGGAGGCTTGCAAAACTCTAGCCTTCCAAAAAACAAAAATAAGAATAAAAATGAAGGATGCGCCTTTGTTTCCTCCGGCGGTTGCAAGGCAGAAGGGAGAAGGGAAAAAAAGAAAGAGAGAGAAAGAAAGAAAGAAAGAAAGAGAGAGGGAAAAGGGAGAGCAAGTATCTCCCAGCTGCCCCAGATGGGGCCGTGAGTGAGCCGCTCAGAGCCGGCGAGGGCCAAGGGCTGTGATGGGGAGGGGGCGCCCCACCGCCGACCCTCCCCTCTCCAAACCTTCGCCCTCCCGGAGTCTGGGAGAAGGAGAAGGAGAAGGCGGCGTTGGGGTTCAGGTTTCCCCTCTCCCGGCTCCCCACACCTCCTCCTCTCCGCCCCGCCCGGCCACGCGCGGACTCCCACGCGGGGTTGGGCGCTGGAAGCTTGGAGGGGAAGCGCTGGAGGGAGGCGAGGTTGGTGTGGAGCCCTAATCCCGGGGGAAGGGGATGCTGGTGCGACTCGCGTGTATGATGTGTGTGTGAGTGTGTCTGTCTGTCTGTCTCTCTCTCTCTCTTCCTCTCTCACTCCTTCTGTTTCTCTCTCACACACACACTCTCCCCCTCTCTGTCTCTCTCTTCCTCTCTCACTCCCTCTCTCCCCCTTCTCTCTCTCCCACTCCCTTTCTCTGGTGTCTGTTCCCTTCTCTTTCTCTCTCTCTCTTCCCTCTCCTCTCTCTCTCTTCCCCTTCTCTCTTCCACTCCCTCTCTCTGTGTCTCTTTCTCTTTCTCTCTCTCTCTCTCTCTCTCTCCCTCTGTCTCTCTTACTCTCCCCTCTCCTCTCTTTTCCTCTCACTTCCTCTCTCCCCTTCTCTCTCTCTCTCCCTCTCTCTCTGTGCCACTGTTTTCCTCTCTCACTCCCTTTTTCCCCTTCTCTCTCTCACTCACTCCTCTCTCTGTCTTTCTTTCTCACTCACATCCTTCTCTCTCCCTCCCTCCCTCTTTCTATCTCTCACTCTTTCTCTCTCACTCCCTCTCTCCCCCTTCTCTCCCCCCCACTCTCTCTCTCTCTTCCTTTCTCACTCCCTCTCTCCCCTTCTCTCTCCCCCACTCCCTCTCTCTGTGTCTCTTTCTCTCTCTCTCTCTCTCTCTCTCACTCCCTCTGTCTCTCTTACTCTCCCCCCTCTCCCTCTCTTTTCCTCTCACTTCCTCTCTCCCCTTCTCTCTCTCTCTCCCTCTCTCTCTGTGCCACTGTTTTCCTCTCTCACTCCCTTTTTCCCCCTTCTCTCTCTCACTCACTCCTCTCTCTGTCTTTCTTTCTGACTCACATCCTTCTCTCTCCCTCCCTCCCTCTTTCTATCTCTCACTCTTTCTCTCTCACTCCCTCTCTCCCCCTTCTCTCCCCCCCACTCTCTCTCTCTCTTCCTTTCTCACTCCCTCTCTCCCTCTTCTCTCTCCCCCACTCCCTCTCTCTCTTCCTCTCTCATTCCCTCTGTTTCTCTCTCTCTCCCCCTCTCTGCTTCTATGCCTCTCTCACTCCATCTCACACACTCTCCCCCTTTCTGTCTCTCTCTTCCGCTCTCACTTCCTCTCTCCCCCTTCTCTCTCTCTCTCTCCCTCTCTCTCTCCCTCTCTCTCTCCCTCTCTCCCCCTTCTCTCTCTCTCACTCCCCCTTTTCTCTGTCTCTTTCTTTCTCACTCCCTCACTTACCCTTCTCTCTCCCTCCCTCTCTCTCGTTCTCTGTTTCTCCCACTCTCTCTGTCTCCCTCACTCCTTCTCCCTCTCGGTTGCTCTCTCAGGCTCCCTCTCTCTTTCTCTCCCTTTCTCTCTCTCTTTCTCTCTGCCTCTCTTGCTGTCTCTTTCTTTCTCTTCTCTGTTTCTCTCTCCCTCCATCTCTCTGTGTCTGGCTGCTCTCCACCCCTCCACCTCCTTCCTCCCCCCCCCACTCACCACACCCAAACAGTGATCACATGACCTCAGGATACTGCATGAAATTGTTCATACAGGTAGTCCTCGACTTTCAACGATTCGCTTAGTTCAAAGTTACAACGGCGTTGGAAAAAAAAGTGATTTAGGACTATTTTTCACACTTACGACCATCACAGCTTCCCCGTGCTCACGTGATTTAAATTCGGACGTTTTAACCACTGACTCCCATTCATGACGGTTGCACGTGATCCTCTTTTGTGACCGTCCGAGAAGCAAAGTCAACGGGGGAAGCCGGATTCGCTTAAACAACCGTGTCACTTACTTAACAACTGGAGCAATTCAATAGCAATAGCTGCTCTTGTTGTTGTTGTCAGTTCCCAAGTCTTTTGCTGCATAAAATTGTGGTGAAACCTGAAAGGCATAAGGAGAAAAAAAGAAAAAGAAAAGAAGACATGGAGTGAAATGCAATTGCTTTATTGCAACCTTTGAGCAGCATTAGATAATAAGAGAAAGACAATAAATTACTACGGCAAATTCACTAGCACGAAATTAGCCCAAAACAATAGAACACACAGCCGAATCAAAGATTGGTCCAATTATATGGCTTGATAAAGAGATTTTCAATCACAGCTGGGAATGTGATTGAAGAGGCTGTTGTTGTTGTTATTAGTTGTTAGTTGTGTCCGACCCATCGTGACCCCATGGACAACGTTCCTCCAGGCCTTCCTGTCCTCTACCATCCTCTGGAGTCCATTGAAGCTCACGCCGACTGCTTCAGTGACTCCATCCGGCCACCCCCTTCTCTGCCGTCCCCTTCTTCTTTTGCCCTCCATCGTTCCCAGCATTAGGCTCTTCTCCAGGGAGTCCTTCCTTCTCATTAGGTGGCCAAAGGATTTGAGTTTCCTCTTCAGGATCTGGCCTTCTAAAGAGCAGTCAGGGGTTGATCTCCTCTAGGACCGACCGGTTGGATGGCCTTGCAGTCCGAGGGACTCGCAGGAGTCTTCTCCAGCACCAGAGTTCAAAGGCCTCCATTCTTTGGCCTTCTCAGCCTTCCTTATGGTCCAACTTTCACAGCCATCCATTGCAACTGGGAAAAATAGCTACTGTATAGACCCTATTTAATAACTTATCACACAGAACTAGTGTAATCCTCAGGGCAATCTCTATTAACGAGCCCCAGTAATTTTATTGGGTTTTATATCAGCGTATTCTCCAGTGACCTGTAAGTAATTAGATAACGTCAAAAATTTTCGCCACACTTTGTCTACATTTTTTAAGAGTGTTTGCATGAAAGGAAAAGCAATGACACCTAAAATGTCTTTTCGCTACCTGTGGCTGTATAATCATCATCATCTATTTGGCGACACAATTTGGTGCCGTTTCGTTACTTTCCACCTTCATTCAAATTGTTTCACCAGGATGCAGGGGTGAAATCCAGCAGGTTCTGACAGGTTCTGGAGAACTGGTAGCGGAAATTTTGAGTAGTTCGGAGAACCAGAGGAGGAGATACCACCTCTGGCTGGTCCCAGAGTGGGGTGGGAATGGGGATTTTGCAATATCCTTCCCCCTGGAATGGGGAGGGAATGGAAATTTTGCAGTATCCTTCCCGTGTAGTATCCTTCCCCTGCCACGCCCAACAAGCCACACCCACTAAGTCACACCATGCCCACAGTGGTAAAAAAAATTGAATTTCACCACTGCCAGGATGGCTTCCTCCAGATATTTTCTCCAGCGAAGGCTTTTTATTCGCTGACGTTGTCCCAACGGTGCTTTTTCAAAAGGCCACTGGACTGTGATCTGCCTTGAAGACATTTTCCTTCTCGCCCAAGAAGCTTCTTCAGCTTCTACAGCCTCCAACATTCATCCAGAACAGATGAAGCTTCTGGGATGAGAAGTGAAACCTCTTCAAGGAAAAACAAAGTCCAGTTGCATTTTGATAAAAAAAACACATTTGAGACAACTGTGACATCGATGACTGTGAATCTCCATAGATATTTCACCGACATTATTATTACCTTTTGGGGTAATGCTAGTCCTGGTCCTAGCCAGATTTTACGAGACACACCAGTTTAGGGAAATGAGTCGGTTGTGATCTTGCAACAGGGGTGGGATCCTACTGGTATAACAACCAGTTCGCTGAGCACACATTTCACAATTTTTCACACTTATGACTGTGGTAACATCCCCATGGTTCCATGATCAAAATTCAGACACTTGGCAACTGACTCATAGTTATGACAGTTGCAGTGTTCTGGGGTCATTGACTAGTTTTGAAACCAGCAAAGTCCCGGGGTGGGTGGGGGGGAGACTGACCGTATTTTTCGGAGTATAAGACGCCTGGAGTATAAGACGCACCTTAGTTTTTGGGGAGGAAAATAAGAAAAAAAGCTGATTGGCAGGTGGATCGGCCTCTCCCGGAATACCCCCAATCAGCTGTTCCCAGAGGTGAATTTTAGCAACAGGTTCCTTGGTTATGAGCTCTGTGCCTTGCTCTCTCTCTCTCTTTTTTTTTTTTGCTTTTTTTTCTGCCTCTGAAACTTCTGAAAGTCCGTTTCAGAAAAAACTTTTTTTTCCTGCCTCTAAAAGCCTCCAAAACAGAGCTTCAGAAAAAAAA